ATGGCTCATCTCTGGCTGTTTGTGATACCCTGTTAATGTTGAAGATGCTTAGGACATGACAAGCCTCCTCCTGCTTAATGTCAGCCAGCCAAACATGTCCTAAATACATACCATTTGAGGGACATAAGATGTGTATGTTTCAAATGCTTTCTGAAGATGCACTTGTTCACCTTTCTCTGGCTTTTATAATTGATACTATGACAGTAGCTGAAATCATTTTCAATAGCATCTTTTACATGGGATTTTGAATATTTATTTGGGATTTATTATTAAATATTATAAAATTATAATTCATAAACAATTCTATTGTATGAACTGTTCGGAATTTGATGTTGAATTTGATGGAAGCTGTTGAGAAGCAGGCCAGCACTCCTCTGGAATTCCCCATTGTGGGTTCTATGTGTGAGGCGAACCATAACAGAAAGCTGAGAACTGTCTCTGGGTGCTTCTAGATTAACAGCTCTAAGTGCTTCCAATCAAGACCTCATGCAGCTTTTCAGTCTTTCACTTTTTGACAGATATTTTTGTCAGAAAAGAGGTGGGAAAATGGTGGGGAAACCCAAGAAGAAGGCACATCAATGAATTTGATTGATTTTAAGTCACCTGTTAGCAACACGCTCCCTGGGTGGGCATTACACTGTAAAATCAACATATAACATTATTAAATTAATACAATTAAAATGTCATAAACAAAATTGGCACAATAAAATAAATAAAAATAAAACATGCATTAATTAAAAACTGTGCACTAATGTAAATGGTCTAGATGGTGCCAAAGGTGCACCAGAAAAGGAAAGTTTGTGCCAGATGCCTGGAACTCAGTAAGATGGGCACCTGGTGATCCTCCGGAAGAGTGCTCCATAACTGTGGTTCCATAATGCTGGTAGCGTTCCATAATTGGGGTGCCACCACAGAAAACGCCCTCCTCCTCCCCCTTAACCTCCTTGGGGAGAGGAACTCATAGGAGGGCCTCAGTCGAAGATCTTAAAAAATGGACAAGAATATATGGAGCAAGGCACTCCCTGTGATCCCAAGTCATTTAGGGTTTTGGGTAAAACCTTGGGTTTGGCAGGGACAGGAAGAGGCAGCCAGTGCAGCCAACAGGACAGGTGTGATACGTTCATAAGAATTGGTCCTTGTCAGCAGCCACACTTCTGGATCCAGACCATCTTCAAGTGCTCTGCAGTAGTCCAGTCTGGGGTTACCAGTGCATGAATGACTGTGGCAAGACTGACTTCATCCAAGAAGGGGCGTAGTCGGTAAATTGGCCCAAGCTGATAAAAGACATTCCTGACAACTGAGTGCACCTGGGCAACCAGGAGAGTTCAGGGTCTGGGAGCACCCCCAAACTACGAACCTGGTCCTTTAAGGGGAGGGCAACCCTGTCCAGGGCAGGTTGACAATCTCCCAGTTGAAATGTTGGTTTACTGACCAACAGTACTTCCATCTTATCAGGACTGAGCTTGAGTTTATTGGTCCTCATCCAACCCATTACCGAGTCTGGACACTGATTGAGGGTAAAGACTGCCACACCTGGGTCAGATGAAAACAAAAGTCAGAGCTGAGTATCATCAGCTTATTGATGACACTTCAGCCCAAACCTCCCGATGACCTCTCCCAGTGGTTTCACGTAGATGTTGAAAAGCATGGGGGATAAAATCGTACCCTGTGGTACTCCGTGACACAAATGCCATGACACAGAGCAATAATTCCCAGCACTGTCACCTGGAGATGGTCTGCCAGGTAGGAACAGAGCCAGCACAATGTGGTGCCTCCAACCCCCAACCTGGCAAGCCAATCCAGGATACCATGGTCAATGAGCCAGGAGAATCTCAAAAGCCAATGAGAAGTACAGGAGAATCAACAGGGTTGCACTTCCTCTGCTTCCCTCCCAGCAAAGATAATCCAACAGGGTGAAAACCAGGCCAGAAACCCAACTGAAATGGGTCAAGATTACCAGTTTCCTCCAAGAAGGCCTGCAGTTGCTTGGCCACCACCTGCTCAATCACTTTGCCCAGGAAGAGAACACTGGCTATTGGTCTATATTCAAGTTACCCAGTTCCGGATTTGGTTTTTTTTAGGGGCGGTGTAACCATGGCCATTTTTAATACAGCCGGCACCACACTTTTTCTCGGAGGCATTTACAGCCTTGAGGGCCCAGGGGCGGAATCCCTCCCTTGATCCTCCATAAGCCAAGCTGGGCAAGGATCCAACGAGCAAGTGGAAGGGTGGACTTGACCAAGCACCTTGTCCGCATCTAGCAAGGATGAACCAGATGGCACCTGGACACCTCCAAAGGCAGTACTGCAGTAACTGCAGCATCCATGCTGGAGTGATACAAGCAATGTTGTCCTCGAAAGGCCAAGCAGACTTGTCACAGCAGGCTGCCAAGGGCTCAACAGGATCTTTTTTGGGGCTCACAGGTAAAAGGCTCTGAACCACCTGGAAAAGCTCCTCTGGTCAGCATTCCAAGAACACGATGCAGGTGGTGTGAAAACACTTCTTAGCTGCCTTGATTGCCATGGAATAGGCTTGACCTTGAGCTCTAAGCCATGTTCAGTTGGAGTCATCCTGAGTTTTCTGCCACCTGCGCTCTGGTCATCCCCCAGCCTGCTTCATCGCCTGGAGCTCTACCATACACCAGGGAGCTGGAAGGGCTCTGCAAGGAGGGAGAGGATGCTTGGGAGCAATCATACCAGCCACCTGGGGCATCTCCATGTTCCACAGGGCAACCTGAGCTTTGACAGGAGCACCAGCCATGTCAGCCAGATAAACCCCCAGAGCTCTCAGGAATCCATCTGGATCCATCCATCTCCAGGCAGACAGGTCCCCCACCCCTGCAGAGGGGAAAAGGGTCTGAGAGTTCAATCCTCAAAAGGAAGCAATCTGACCATGACAAGGGGGTTAAAGAAAGACCCCTGACCACCAGCTCACCACCTTCCAGGCCACTCAAGAAAAGCAGACCAAGAATGTGTCCTTTTCCATGTCCTGGGCCAACGACATGTTGGGAGAGCCCCATGGCTGACATGGCCCCTTTGAAGTCCTAGGCTGCCCCAGATTGGACAGCCTCAGCATGGAAATCGAGTCCCCCAGGACCAAGGTCAATGACCCAATGAAAGAGGATGATGCCTCAACTTCCATACGTGTCCATAATTAAGGCAGGGCATTTTCCTAATATACGTTTCCTCTGGAAGCACCCTTATTGTTTTTTATTATCTTTAAAATATTTCTTGGCCGCCTTTTAGGGCAGGATGAGAAGACACATAATAAGAAATGATGCAGCAATAAAAGCAGTAGTATAGACACAATAAAACAGTAAAAACACAATAAAAACAGCTTTATGAAGGGCAACAGCAGCAAATATTCTGCAGAAAACATCAAAAATAAAATAGAACTATGTAAGCCGTCCTGAGATATTGTCATAAAGAATGGCATATAAATGTTTTAAATGAATGAATGAATGTACTATATTTTCAAGGCCTTTACGAACCAGCACTGATTGGGCCTGGTGGGCCATCAATAGCTTCTTGTCCCAGAAGTGTGGGGCCACTGTGGAAAAGGCCTTCTTCTAAAATATATATTGATGATGATTTTGGTTCCCATAATCATGAATATAAGATTAGTATGGGCCATTTTCAGGAAGTCCCACAGGAACTGGAAGTCTGTGTTTTCTCACATTCTTAGCAGCAATCGCAAAAGACTGGGGCAGAATTAATAGCAGATAAATATGAATAATGGATCTGTAATTTCACCCTGCACATTAGTGATGCCACAATCACAGCAAATGGTTCCCCAATGGGTGGTTTAACTGCTAGGCTACTGTGGAGATTAAATTGTCATTTAAAAATGTGTCTGGTGTTTATTCACATTAATATATAAATTGACTTTGCAGAGAGCTTCACTTGCCGCTTGCTTAGCTGCAAATAATGATCCATGTCATACTATAAAAGTAAAGAAAATAGGCTTTTTTTTAACAGTACAAGGAAATTTTATCTGAATGTGCTACAAACTGTAGGAGGGTTTCAGCCCAGGGCATGGATGCTGAAAAGACAACTTGGGTTTTCATAAATTCATGGCAGAAACGAAGCTTGGTGGAAGCGTGGGAGCCGAACGGGCCCGTCTACATCCCATTAAACTTAATGGGGAAACAACCACTGACCCGACTCGCGAGTTGCATCCACAATAGATGGGCGCGTGTGCGCGCGGGAGGGGGCGCCCCTTGTGCAATGGGTAGTGCACCGGAGCGTGTGCAACTTCACACCCCCACCTGGCGTCGACGTAGCGCGGGGGCTCAACACGCCACCGCGAGGCGGGCAGCCCTCCCGGGCCGATCCGCACCGCCGTGCGCGCCAGGCATTCCGGCGGCTTCCGCAACCGGGGCGCGCAAACTTTCGCAGCGCCCCCCGCGGAACCGCCTCCGCGCCCGGAAGACGGCGTGCTCGTGCGGAGTGGCGCCTCTCGCTTGGCCCCCAGGCCATTGCAACCCCCCCCCCCCAGCCTTTGCTGGCCGCTTGCAGGGACATGGGCGCGGGAGCCCCGCCCCGCCCCGCCCCGATCGCCGCGCCCGCTGCCCCGCCAGGGGGCCTGTAGCGGGGGCGGGGGGCGCGCGCTGCAAGCGCCGCTTTGCAGGGAGAAAGGCAATCGTCGCAACCGAGCCGCCGCTGCCGTTGCGGCGGAGGCGGAGGGAGCGCAGGAGATTTGGCGATGCCTCGCACGTAGTGTTTTGCAGGAAGTTTCCACGCGCCTCCCGAGGAGCCTGAAGAATGGGAGAGGAGCCCTCGGCTGCACAGTAATCCCGATTTCCTCTGCCTCCCCCGGGCCCCCCCCCCCGCCCCCAAATTACCCCCCCCGTTCACGTTTCCAGGGGTTCCTCCTTTCGCCACGCCACCCGCTCCCAGGCGACGCAGCCGCCCCGGCTGAAGCGGCGCCTGCAGGCGGGCCGGGCTCTCGCGGGGGAGAGGCGGCCCGAGCATGGTCGCGCTGGGCGTGTGCGCGATCCCGAGCCGCCGCCGCCGCGCGGAGCAGCGTCGCCCGAGCCAGGCTCCCTGACATTCGGGACCGACCTCCTGGAGACCTTGCAACTCGGACAGGTCGTTAGCATGGGGACGGAGGCTCCGGCGGAGAAGGGTGGGTACTGCGCGCGTCTGCCCGGCGCGCGGGGGGGAGGGGTGTGCGCCCGCGTGTCGGGGCGGGGGTCGTCTGGATGTGGCATCCAGGCGCGACGGGCGCAGGACTGCGGGGCGGGCGCAGGACCTCGCGCAACAGGAAGCGCTGACCTTGGCGCGTGCCGCCTCGGTCTTCCCGGAGACATGGCTGTCCCCGGCCGCCCACCTCCGCCTCCTGAGGACCAGGTGAGCCCGACAGCGGCGCTGGACAGGCAGCGGGAGGGGCCGCGCTGCCTGGCATTCGCGAGCCTTCCAGCACTGCGCCTCCATAGACCCTCCGAATAAATCGTGCAGCTTAGCCGTTGCTGGAAGAGGGATTTCGGCCGCGGCTGACCCCTCTGTGCGGCAGCCTGCCCCCTCCCCCGCAGCCTGTTTACTCGGAAGGCAGCTGCGCTGGTTTCAGAGGGACTCCGCTCCGGGGCGGGGGGGTGCAGATTGCAGCCACTCGTCTCCCAAGAGGCTTCCCACGGAGGCAGGAATCAACAATTGGTTTGTTTTTAATGCCTTGCACGCTGCTTAACGCGCCCAGTCTTTGCCCCCTAGTGTGTTCCTGGCACACTGATGCTTGCAGGATGCATGATCATGGTCCTGTTGCTACCAGATGGACAGTTGATGCTAGGGCACACTAATCTCGAAACATACTGGACAAACCATCTCATCAGGTAAATTCATCATTCAGGTGTTCGGTGCATCCTGCCAAGAGGGAAGAGCTGCTTTCTGTAAATGTGTCTGTGAGGGGAGGAATTGGTGGTTCACATTTGCTGGGTGAAAAGCAACCTGCTAGTGCTTGAAACAGCAAAGAGATAAAGGAAATGCAGAACCCAGCAGCATCTCAGAGGGGTACCTTGAAGGCCAGATCTTCAAGATGGCTGTTCGTGCTCACGACAGCTGTGCCAGCACAGGGCTGATTCTGTCGGTGTTCGATGCTTAACTGTTCTGCAACGGAGGATTGTTCTGGTTGCGATTTCTACTACTACACATTGCAATAAAGACACTGTTATCATGCATTGGTTGCTGAAGATCTAGACACCTTTCCTTCAGGTAACATGTTCATTGCAGAGGCTGTGCTTTTCCCCAGCCCTTAAATCAGACCACTGGCTGTCATTGGCAAAACTCTGTTTGTCCTACAGGAAGCTCTAGGTTGGAAAGGGTGATTGCAGTAGGAAATGTGGCTGCCTGAGTGCCACCGGGCAGCACCGGTGCCACGATATGAACTTGCCTCGGTCCTTTGCACGCACCCTCGGAGGTGAATCCCGTGGGCTCCAGCGGGGACTAGTTTTGGACAAGTGGGTGCAAGACTGTCATTAACGGCAGTGAATCAGACCCTGTTACAGTTTACCGTACCCAGTGCCATTTTGTACGGTTACGGTACTTGGCATTGTTTTTGTTAATGCATTTTAAATGTGATGTACATTGTTATTGCAATTTTTTTATAGTGAATGTTGATGAGATTCTATAATATCTATATGCAGTCTGCTTTGATATTTTGTTATATTAAGTGGTATATAAGAATTACTTTTTTTAAAAGGCCTGAAATAAGTGAGGCTGGACATTCACCTGCTCCAGCACTGAAGCCCAAGGCAGTATTATGGGATGGCCCACTGGTGCTGAAGCCCCAGATCTTGCACTTGGAGCCCCTCATCACTGGGGGACCATCTGCCCCACCCCTGGTGACCATGGAGATTTGTTGAACTAAAGGGCCACCTGCCCTGAGGTCTCTGCTGCACCTGATCCCCCTGGATCTGCCATTTTTTGCCTGGGTGGGCTTCCCCTCCGACTCCCGTGCCCTTTTAAATAGTTCTGCCGGGGTGTTCTTCTGAAATCAAATGCTCATGTTAAATAGGGACCTCCTTAGGAGACATGTTCTTTTGCAGATAGATACAGAGGGACTTTAGAGCACATGCAAACCAGCATTTGGCCCCCCACCATGGCCACCCCCTCCCCCATGGGCCTGAGCACCAGCTCTTCTTGGGGCTCAGCACTGCCCCTTAGCGCATATACACGTCACGTAGTATATACATGTAGAGTTAAGGCACCCGCTGCAAGAAAGGCTACCCCACCCTGTTTCATTACGCAGGGAACAGATGTAGCGCTATTAATGCAGGTTCAGGGCTAACAAACAACAGTTTTTTTTTAAATCCATGTATGATTTCCTCCCTCTGGTTTTCAAAGCATTTCATGCACATCACCATATAAATCCTCATAACACCCCTGCAAAGCAGGTCATTATCATGGTTATAGATTGTAGCTGGGGCGGTGATGGTGGAGCTGAGAGATACTTTCTGTGCATTCATGGCTGAGCTGTGGTTTTCAGCCCTGCGTTTCACATGCTGCTTATTGTTGCAGCCCCTCAGCTAAAGAAAAGGTGTCTGTGTGTTTTCTTTCTCTAGAAAGGGCCGTAATGTGTTTCTTTTGATCAAGCTATAATATACAAAAGAACCAAAACAAAGGGTACAGTGACTGCTTTTGACCTTCACAGTCACACAGCCTCATTTTCACCAACTTTTCTAGACTAAAGTGATAGAGAAATATGAGGGCAATTATAAAGACATGTTTTCATGGCTTTATCCCAAGTACCCTCCCATCCTTAAGAAATTCAGAGAAGTCTTTCCCAGGTCTTTTTGAAGACATGGCATGACTGGAGGCTTATGAAAGAACCTTCTTTTGTAAAAGAAGTCTTGCTTTATTTACCAAGTCAGAAACTGAGAGAGAAATGACAGCTCCTAGCAGAGGCAGGTTGCTCTGCAGACAAAGGCGATGAGATCATTCCTTCAAGCCTCGTGTTGTAGCATCTCGGCGCAAGACACGGTGATGGCTGTCAGCACAGACCAGGGACAGGCAAACCTGTGCCTTCCAAATGTTTTGGACTACAACCTCCATCAGCCCTGCCAGCATGGCAGACGGTAAAGACTTGTGGGAGTTGTCATCCAAACCGTGTTAGTTTCGCCCTAGCACAGAACTTAGCTTCAGAAAGGACTGGATGAACTCAGCAGAGGACTGGTCTATCCATGGCCCATGTCCTTTGGTCCATAAGTGGTTCCTCTAGGTGTAGAGGTAATATACCAAGTGCCGGGGACAGACGGTAGAGGGGAGGCATCAGGTCTCTGTCCTGCCCTTGACGGCCCAGAGACACCTGGTCAGCCACTGCTGGGAGCGGGTCTAAGTGTGCCCTCAGTTCCCCCCCTCCCAGTTCTCATCTGTTTTTGCATGTTGGGACGATATCAGCAAGGGGGTTGGGCAGAGATGAAGCACAGTGCTCTGGACCAGCGGGTTGTGGAGGGCTTGGATCGCCTACCTGCAGTTCTGCCGTGAGGTACATAGAGAATTTGCTTGGGAACCTGCCAAGCAAATTCTGCCATCTCAGAGATGATGGCTTGCTAGGACTTTCTCAGTCACACTGGCAGGACTGAAGGCTAGCCAGAAGGAAGAATGTTAGAAACTTATGTTAAGCTGTGATGTCCCCTAGGGTGGGATGAGACAAATTAGCAGCACTGTGTTAAAAAACAACAACAACAACCAAAAAACAATACCCAGGTGTTGAAACAAGTTGAATATAATATCCACAGTCATAATTGCCCATTAAACAGATCATATGGCTCATAACTTCCCAGCTGTCTATGGGTTTTTGTCTGTCATTTTATCTTTTGCCTAAGACACAAAGCATATCCTGTTAACTACCTACTTGTTTTGGAAAGAGACTGAAATCCAATCCAACATCCACATACTTGTATCACAACTCAGACATTTCATGTCCTTTTATATCTTTGCAGCTGTTCAAACTTCCGGAAAACCTGAAATCGTGCCTTACTTGAATGCATCAGGTAGCATTTATCATATATTTTTTTTTAATTTTCCATGGTTGTTTGCACCCGCCATCAACCTACTTCCTTCTCCCTAAAAAATTCTAAGAGAGTTTTCTTTATGCTCTGCACCATCACAAACAGTATCATTATGTCTACTATTTATGTATTTATGTTTCACTTTCATTGCATCTGTAGCATCCTTGTATCCCTGTTAGGTCATGGCCCTTGTACTGCAGGTACCCTTTGCATTTCTACTCTCCTGACAAAGCAATTAACATTTTCTTCCCCCTTTCTCACCTTGTACATATATCTACAAATCTGAGGGTAATACTTCCTGCTTCTGGACAGTGGCCACAAAAGCTTATCCCAGAATAGTTTTGTTAGCCTTTAAGGTACTGCAAAATTCTTTTCTTTGTTGCCATATCTTCCTAAGTAATATTTCCTTTATTAGATATTCCTGCTTAGAACCCAGCTAGTGAAGTACGATCCCCAAAAGCGGACAGACAGTGCAAGGAATTGTTCTCGTGCCTTGCCGCTTGGACACGATTGCCCCAGTGCATGAATGGAAGATGGAAGGCAGGACTCCAAAACTGCTTTTCCTTTTTCCAGAAACAACATTTCTTAACATGGTGCTTAACTCCTGGCAGAAAAATATGTGCTTCTGTTGGCCAATCGCAAACCAGTAAAATAACGGGTGGCCCCTGAGGCCACCAGTCAGAAGCAGTCGGGTGGTTATTCCATCATTCCCTGCTTGGTAGATTCTTGGATGGCGAGAAAAATACAGACGCCGTCATGGGAAAATGCAGGAAGGTTGCACAAATGAAAGACAATGTTGTCTGGACCCCTCCCGCCCCCCCCCCCACCCTGTAGAATTACATGAACAAGTCAGAGCCTCTTCTGCAAGCATCTAATTTGATTAGCCAGTCATTTGTCTTTAATTGATTCAGCCAAAGAAGAGTAAGGCGCACCCCCAGAGGGGAAAATCTTATTGCCCAACAAGGGTTAACAAAAGAGAAAGCTCTCTTAGACTCTGTCCTGTCCAAAAATCGGCAATGGCCAGTCTGGGCGGACAGGGTCAGGCCCTGGCCAGAAGGTGCATCCCCGAGAAGCTGCCAGAAAGGGCAGTAATTAACCACAGGGGGGAGCTGGACACAGATCCTGCCAGGCCCATTCCAGAACGACTCCATCAGCCATTGAAGGATGCCAGAGGCCGACAACACTCAACGCAGAAAGGATTTCACAACAATTTCCCTGCCTGCCTCTGGTGTCTGCTCCCAGACACCAACAGACACCTCTTTTGGCACCTGGAAGGCCTCTCTCCCATCCCCTGCCATCCCCTCCCTGCTGTTTATTTTATTTAAGATTTTCTAGCTCTGTTTTTTAACTGGAAAGCTGCAATCTTGCAAAGCAAAATGGTGCCCCCGTGCCATTTTTGGGTTTGAGAGAGAGTTTTTGTCTTTTGAAACTTACCCCCTTCTAGGACTTTCACTTAGATCCCTGGGCAAATTCAGTTTTCTTTTAATCTCTCCAGATTCCCATCTGGAAAATCTGGGTTTCCTGACCCTCCATGGCAGCCATTTTACGAATGGCCAAGCCCTACTCTCAGGAAAGCCATTTTGTGGGAACACTTGGAGCACTTGCTTAAAATTCCAAAAGTGCCCACCTACCCAAAAGGTTTGGGGACCTCGTCTGTTCAAATGGTTTTGAGGCTCTCACAACATTATGTTGAAATCTACGGTCCGGGGAAAGAAATCCTGATCAGCTACTAATATCTGTCTTAGCACCACAATGCGGAGGAAAGCTGATGCGAAAAGCATATTCCCTTTGGTTGATTGAGATGACTTCAGTCGGGTGCCCCCCAGGTAGGGTGGGCTACATCATCCCCTGCCATCATCCCCTGCCAGGGGTGGAGCCTTTGGGCTAAATGTTAGGAGGAACTGTGTAACAGCTGACAGATGGAGGAAGGGGCTGGCCCGAGAGCCCTCCTTCATGGTCAAGGATGCCACCCTTGCAAACTGCAGCGGGTTGGGGCAGTCGAGCCCCAGGGTCTCTTCCAACTCTGCATGTGACCAAAACCATCTCCTGCTTTGTCCGTGCAGGCAACGGAGCAGAAATCCTGAAGGCCCAGCAGGATGTGAAGGCCAGAGATGAGCAGTAATTACTGCAACAACACCTCAGTGAGCATGAGTGTCAACGAGGTCTCCACCTTTCCCCTGACTCTGGAACAAAAAACCGGCTTTGCCTTTGTAGGGATCCTGTGTGTCTTCTTGGGACTCCTGATTATCAGATGCTTCAAAATCCTCCTAGACCCCTATAGCAGTATGCCGTCTTCCACGTGGGAAGATGAGGTCGAAGGGCTGGACAAGGGGACATTTGAATATGCTCTTGCATGAAAACTCCTACAAGAATATCCTGCCTTAATTCTGATATTTTTCATTTTGAGGACCCTAGAATGGAGGCATTTGTAACAGATATGATGTTTTGAAGATATGGTGGCAGTGTCTTTTTGTTAAATAAAGCTTTGTTGCAGATTTAAAAAAAAATCTTTTCCTTGCGGTTTTTGCTGTGGGTTGTTGTTTTTCAAGTGAAAGGCAAAATGATGGAGGGGGAAATGTAGAGCATGACTGACATTTACTCTGTGGCTGCAAATCATACACATTTAAACTGAAGAAAAATCCGACAGTTTCCAGCATTTCCCAGCCAGCAGGAGTGCGCCTTTGAAGACTTTGACTGGGCAGTGGTGGCCAACTTCTTCAATGGCTCTGTGCTCCCAAGACAAGCAGCTTGGGGTGAGGGAGGCCTTTCGCTCTGCATCCCAAAATCAGCTTGGCCTCCGGACACCTTTCCTGGGGATGGTTAAGCCCGGCTGGCCATTTCAGGCAGGGGCCTTGCAAAGGCCTCCTGGAGAACCTCCTTGTGTTGTCCCGGAAAGGGTGGCAGGCAGGACAGAAGAGCCACATGAAGCAGTCCTAGAAATCCCAATTGTGGCCACTTATGAACCAGCCAAACAAGGGAAACGCATCACCTAAACAACAACAACAAAAGGATAGAGGCTCGCATAAAATGTGTCTGTGCAAATTTATACTTAATATATGAACATTTGGAAACAATTGCTACAATTTGAAGGGCAACAGGGCACATCGCACCTTGGTGCGGAAGACTGGCCAGGTGAACGGAGTGCTTGTCTGCTGTCCAGATGCCAACTGTTGACATACAAGGCTTCTTCAGGTGCTTTATCTTCAATCTGGCATTGGACATGAGGGGACTGTTTCCTGTAAAGGGGGACCGACGGCCATCTTGCTCCCAACCTGTCTCAGGGAAGAGAGGGGACACAAGTCACTGCAAAGGCAGCTCAGAGACTCAGGACAAGCTGTAATGTGATCATTAAAAAAAAACCTGGATTTTACTGACTGTTTTCCAAAAGTAGCTCTCCCACTGGTATAAACAATATTGTCTGAGAACAGGCAAAATGCAGTCAGGAGCACGGGGGTTTAAAGGGAAGAGATCCAAATATGAGATGGGTCAGTTCCATAAAGCCTTCAGTTTACAAGGGCTGAGCAGGGCTGCTGAGGGCAGGACTCGTGCACAGGGTCGCCATAAGGGAGAAGACCTGACAGCCGAGACAACAGCAGGTGGATGAGGCAGGGCATCTCCCACAAGAATTCCTCAGGGCAGGAGGAGCAGGGCAGAGACACCGAGAGGTCCCCTCCATCCCAGTGTGTGCCAGTCTAACATGATGCATAACCCGTATCTTCAAGTGAAGAATCCAGTACATTTCAGATGTACTGGATAAAATAAATGCTACTGTTGTTTATTTATTTATTAAAACATTTCTATGCTGCCCCATTTGCCGAAGCCTCGGGGCGGCTCACAACATGAAGTAAAATACAAAAATAACAATATAAAAATAACAATATAAAATAAATAACAATATAAAATAAGTCGCCCTTATTGTTGTTGCCCTTGTTGGGAAAGTAAACCATCCAAATACTGTGTTTTAGCATGTCCTCTCGCTGTTTAGAGATGCTCAGTAAGTCATACGCAACTGATTCCAAATAGAAGCCGGACAGCCCTCTGAGTGTGACGGTGTGAAGTGATGCCCTGCGACAGCACTGGTTGGACTTGATGGCCTTCATGCCCCTTCCAACTCTTCTATTCCAGGATTCGATGATTTAATTCAACTTAAAACCTTCTGCCCTATAAACCAAGTAGCTTCATTTGCACGATTCACAGAGGGGGGTTGGACATACTGAGTGGGAGATGCACTGACAGAGGCACATGTTTTCCCCTCACTTAATGGTATTTGTATCCTGTGCCTGAGATGAAAAAGTTCCTGGCGCAGTTTCCACCTAGTCAATGCAGTCCTTGCCTGCAGGCTTACAATGTGAAACAAGAGGATGCACAAGGAGGACAGAATGCAGACGGAAGAGGAGCAAATTAGGTAGGCTTACGGGGCGCTGCGGAAACGCCTCTGCTCCTGCTCCCATCTCCGTCGGCTCAGTTGTTTCGCTTTTTGAATGGTTGCTTTTGTGACCCTGGAGTGAGGCGGAACCATCATGAGGGAAGTCTTCAGCAGGGATGGTAGAAGGGCCCTGCCTTCTCCCCTCGTTTGACTTGGTATAGCCAGAAATGTGCAAACAGAGGAGAAAGCTGCTCCAGTGACAATATGTAGAATTTGGAGTCACTTTTGCATCACCACCCTCTGATTTGTGAACTTGGAATTGAGAAACAGAGCAAGTCAGAAGAGGTCTCCCAGGCCATCTAGACTGACCCCCAGCTTCAGCCGGCTCCAATCATGACACGCCTACCATGTGCATGTGCAGCCTATCCTTGAACACCCTCATGAACACATTTGCACGTATGTACACAAATTCATTTGTGCATGAATTTGTGCTCCCAAAAATGTGCACATCAGTGAACATGCACAAGACCCCCACCCCCACCCCATATTTTCATGCTTTACCCTATGGGGGAATTTGTTCATTGTTGAATGGAGTTGCTTGTTCTGCATAGTTTTCTGTGGCACAAAAATACTCTAAAATAATAATTAAAAAATAGTCCATGCAAACCATGTCAGATATGTGATGGGTGCCTTGCCTTGAATGCTGGAGAGAATAGTGACTCTTTTTTTGCAAAATACCCAGAAAGATTTGTTTGGGTTGGTTTGTGTAAGGTATTTTTATACTACCTTTTCAGACAAAAGTGCCCCACAAGCTGATTTACACAGTTACAAAGGAAAATACCTTTAAAAAGTTTTAAAGCAGGTGAAATGTTACCAGAAATATAAAAAGACAGGATTAAAAGGTAAAGGTAAAGGTTTCCCCTTGATATTAAGTCCAGTCGTGCCGGACTCTCGGGGGCGGTGCTCATCTCCGTTTCCTAGCCGAGGGAGCCAGCGTTTGTCCGCAGACGGTCTCCATGGTCATGTGGCGGGCATGGCTAAACACCAAAGTGCACGGAACGCTGTCACCTGCCCACCGAAGTGGTGCCTTTTTATCCACTTGCATTTGCATGCTTTCAAACTGCAAGGTTGGAAGGAGCTGGGACGGAGCAACGGGAACTCACCCCGTTGGGCAGATTCGAACCAGCGACCTTTCGATCAACCAGCCCAGCAGCACAGCAGTTTAAACCAGTGCGCCACCTGCAGTCCCTAAGACAGGATTAGAATCCATTAAAGCAGGGGTTCTCAGACTTCTTAATCAGGGGGCCAGTTCACTGTCCCTCAAACTATTGTGGGGCCGGACTATAGTTTGAAAAAAATATGAACACATTCATATGGACAGTGCACATATCTTATCTGCAAAAAACAGGAAAAAAACAATACAATATTTAAATGAAGAACACTTTTAATCAACATAAACTTATTAGTATTTCAATGGAAAGTATGGACTTGGGTTGCAGGACTTAGTGAATATTCAGTGAGTTTCTCTCCTTTTTTAAACCTGTGTTATATTTGCTCCGCTCGCTCGGGCTGGAGCAGAAGCCCAAGATGACGCCTCGCTGCCTGTCGAAAAGGAGAGCACGACTCGAGGGGGAGCCATGAGGGCGCGCTCGCCCCGGTCGAGGCCTTCCCGCTCCTCACTGCTACCCTGCTTCCGAGCTGCAGGAAGGAGCCCTCGCAGGCGCTCGCCCGGCTCCAGGAGTGGGAGCGGGAGGCCGGGGAGAGGAGCGTGGGGTGGCTCCCCCAGCCAGGAGAAGGCCAGGAGGAGGGAGGTACGGGCTGCTTTCTGAGGCGAGAGGAGGTGAGGGGCCGCGGCCGGCCGACCGGGACGCCTCCTGCCACTCCCTGCCATAGGGGGAGGAAGCATGGCAGCCGCCTGATGATGGCGGCTTGCCCAGAGAAGGCCGCAGCGGAGGCGTGGGAGCCACGGCCCCGCTCCTACTCCGCCTCGGCCCATCCACCCCTCCACTGTTTAACCTTGACAGGTCAAGGCTTCCTTGAGACCCAGCTCTGTTGGGACTATCTATCCCCCTACCCAACTGGATTTTCCACCACCATCTTGGACCCAGTTCCCCTTGCTGAAGTGCTGCAGACTGCCCACGTGGACAGGATGTGCATGTTTGTGCAGGTACGAAGCATCCAATGGGATCTCATCCACAAAGCTCAGTTTGGATGGGGATGCATCTTTCTGTCTATCTTGCCACGCTTGCAGAAATCTGCATCCTTGTCTACTATCTCAGGCGGCCTGTAAACAAAATGGAGAACTAAGCGGCATGAAGCAAAGGAATAGCCCCCTCAGAGGCAACAAACAGGCACAAACTCAGTACGAGTCCAGCCATCCAACAATTAACTATGTATTCTGTGTCCGTACACCATAAGTCTCTCCAGACTCCAAGGAAGAAAGAGTCCAGGGCTGCCGTGACTTGAGAAAAGCATTTGGATTTGTTCTGCCACAGTGAAGTCTATGTGGAAAAGCTCAAAGACGGTACAAAAAACAGACAGTACGAAATCGTGCCTCAAGGTCACCTCTCTGCACATACGGTGAGAGCATCGTTTGATTCCATTTTAAGAATTGTTGGAATCAACATTTCATCTTGGCATTGTCACTCTTGTTAAAGGTACGCTCCGAGAGGCAGTGAGATAAAGCCAATTGGCAAGGACAGTTCATTCATTCATCTCTATAATTTCATAGCGTGCCATTTGCTTTATAATCGAGACAGATGACAACTGAGAGAATTGTGGATCTGACAGCTAAATGAAATGCCACTCACACTGCACCAGCTCTTCGGGGGGAAGCTAAGAAGAACACAAAGCCTGGGAAAAGCAGGCTCAGATCTTGAAGGAAACAGAGATCCTATGGAATTTAAGTAAGCCACAATGTAGAGCTCAGCATAGGAGGGACACAAGTAGAAGTAAGGGCTCAGGTTCCATCTCTGGCATCTTTGTTCAGAGGATGATCACAGTAGCATGCCTGGAAAGGATCCTCACCTGGTGAGACACAGTGTGTGAGAGCCATGTATCTGACCTAGGTTAAATTACCCATTCAGACATTGTTCGTGATTCTGTGGGTTATTTGTGTGACACAAGCCATCCACA